TGTGACTTATGATAAGACATTTTCAAACTTTATCTTGTAGTGTGTCCCACCACGTAAGAAGGCTGAAGCTTCCAATAGTTGTTTGAACTTGATTACAATTTGTAATTTTGTAATCATTCGAGAATTTTTATTTTAGAGTGATAAGTAATAATGATATAATGTGAAATTTATTTGATGTGAAGATGGGAATAACTGAAACCTTTTTGTAGAGCTTTTACTAGATTTATTAGGCTAAAGGAGTCTAGATTCCATAGGCTTTTTTACCTACACTTCTAGCCCTTGTTTGGAATGCTTATTTGATAGATAAGTGATTAAAAATAAGTGTTCAAGAGTATTTGGTGAAGAAGCACTTATTTCAAAAAGAGTAGCATAGGTATTTTTAAAATAACACGGCAGATCAAGATGGGTTATAAAGGAAATAAGTACTTATTAAGTAAGAGCTTAAAATTTGTACCTTTTGAAATATACGCACTAATTCAAGCTTATTTTCCAAATGCAAATAAGTTTTTATAGGTGTGGTCACGACCCAAAATAAATGCTTATGCAAATAAGCACATAAAACAATGTTTAGAAAACCTAATTGAATTGGTCGATTGAACCGTGACCAAGCCTATATTTGGTTTAGTCATACCTTAGGAATCAGAATAGGTGAAAAACCACCCAAAACTAACTAACAAACTGGTTTAACTAGGAAATTGATGAACTGGTCCCGATTTCCTACAACCGCCCATGTCTCAATCATGTAGAATTTTTCAAAATGTGAATGGAAAAATTCAAACCCATGGCCTTTTTTCCATGCATATTACTTTGTTATCATTAATCGACTTCATTATTTGTGTTTTTTTAGTGAATCTTTAATGTGCATATTGCATTAATACACATGTATTTTAAAGAAATGCGAGTTAAGGGGTTTAAACCATGGTTAATTGCTTTAAATATCAAAGCATTAGCCATCTATCAATCACATTCAAGTATAAATTTATTTGTATAATATGTTATATAATATATGACCCCATGGTAGATATATGTATATGCCACATCATCATAATTTGACTTTTGATTTGATTGTGATTGATATGTTAGGTCTGATTCTTTGGACATTGCTTAAAAATAAAACTCCTAGAAAAAAAAAAAACTCAATCAAAAAATGCGTTGGAGACCTTGGCTGGCCTAATAGATGGAATGATTTCCAAACTCTCATAAAAACATAGGAAACCTAGGAGGTGTTTGGCAATATGGTTGGTTTTGTTTTTTGAAAAGAAAAACAACTACCATATACATTTACAAAAGCAATATAATTTTGCTGATGTAAATATGTGATGAAGACAAATTTAATTTTGTTGTCAAACACCCCCTTATTTTGGTTGTTTTTGTCACCATTGTCATTTTAGATTCAAACATTGAGAAAAGCAATGGCGTTTTATGTTAATACACCCAAGATTTTAAAAGGCTGAAGGCGGAGGTTAGGCGGTTGGATGCTAAAGAGGGAAGGTGTAAGCCTGAAGGTGGTTTAAAGCATAAGTCTCAAAGTATAAATATAATTTTTTTTTAACTTTTATGTATATAAATATAATGTATGCACATATGTATGTATATGACATAGTTTATTTTATTTTATAGCTTATATATTTTATTTTCATTACATACATATTCTTTTTAATATGAGCCTTATGTTTTTTCTTTTTTCTTTTATATTTCATAGCTTTGTTTATCTAAATTAGTTAATATTACATACATACTAAAATTATTTGTAAAATTTTATGCATTAAGGGTACAATTTATTTATTTTATAGCAATTTTTATATTAATGTTCATTTTTTTGTCTTAAAATTAACATATGTTTTATGGTAATAACTTACCTAAATAAAATTATCCATTTACTTAATTTACCTAAATTAATCATATATATATACATATTTATATTTAATTTCCTTGTATATTTTTCAAATATATTTTTTATAGTTAATTCATATGTTTATTTTTTATTAAATTATATTCTTTTTAATATGATATATTTTTAATTTTATTTTACATTAATAACCATTTTTGTGAAATAAAAATAGTTTTACTTAATTTATATACATTTTAGATTTTTTTAATAGTTCAATTTATAAATGATGAAGTATTAAAACAAGTAAAAGGGGAGTTCTGTTGGAGCGAAAGCTAGCAAGGGAAGCGGGCTCGCCTAATGGGACTTTTGACTCGGAATCCAATCATTTGGTTAGATAGAATCAAAATTCGATTCCCATTCTTGGTGGAATGACATTACCCAATTCTTCAATTTCCTCCCTTTTTGGGAATGAGAATCCCATTCCAATTGATTCCAATTCCTATCTGAACTAAACAATTATGGGGAATAAACCATTTTGATATCAATTCAAATGGATTTTGATTCTGATTTCGACTAGGAACCAATTAGATTCTTGTTGATGCATTAAAATATGAAAGTCAAGATTGTCAAAAATTCCTACCATTTACAATTCTTCCATGTTCCATCTTTACAAAGTTCTCAATCCAATGGTTTAGCGTAGGGGTGAGCATGGGCCAATTCGGTTCGGTTCCATGGAAAAACTTGGAACCTAGGGGTCGGTTCCAGGTTTTTGGAACTGGAACCTACCCTGTGAAGGTCGATTCCAGGGTTGGTTCCGGCCTTGGTGGTTTCGAGGTCGGTTCCAGGGTCTACCCATGGAACCTGTACTTTCTTTACTCTTCCCCTTTACAAAAAAAGCATATTATTTAAAAACTTGGTTTTTAATAAATATATAATATATAGTTTAAAACTTATATTACCGTTATTGATTAAATTGGATAACTTATCATGTAAATTATCATTATATGGTTAAAAACTTATAAATTAAATTTAAATTTTGTAAACATTACCTTGCACACTACTTATTGTACACATTCAAATATTAAAATGAAAACAAATGATCAAATCACTTAAGTAACTCAATGGTTAAGTGAGACCATGGCCTTTGTAACCATGAACATTCGGGTTCAAATCTCCACATCCCCCAAAAGTATTTTGGGGTTTATTTCAAGGCAAGTTCGATTCCAAGGCAAGTTCCAACAAGGTCAGTTCTACCAGGGCCAACCAAGGCTGGTTCATCAGGTCGGTTTAGGGTAGGGTAAACCCCTAAACCCTAGAACCGGCTTGGGTGGGGGTTGGTTCTAAGAATTTGGAACTAGACCCTACCTTGTAACATATTGGGTAGGGTCGGTTCAAGGCTGCTTCAAGGTCGGTTCCATTCAATTTTGGGTAGAACCTACCCATTTGCTCACCCCTAGTTTAGCGTTATCTAATGTGCTTATTTAAAAAATAAGTGTTTATTGAATAATTGCTTAAAAATAAATGCTTATTCTAATAAGCACTTATGAGCATTTAATGAGAAATCACTTATTTCAAATAGGGGTATTATAGGTATTTTCAAAATAATGTGGTAGCCAAGATAGGCAAAAAATAAGCACTTAAAATTAAGCCCAAATTTTGGGCTTTTCAAATAAGTGCTTACTCTCAAAATAAGCACTTATTTTAGATTTATTTCCCAAACGTCAACAAGTGACTATTGGTGTGATTCTGGCCTAAAATAAGTGCTAATTAGAATAAACACTTATTTTTAACCACTCCAAACTTGGCCTTAGGCTATATTAGCTAGCGAGCCCATAATGTGAATATCTCCTATGCTTGTATGTTAAATTCATAGGTAGATATTCTCGATGTGCAACTGGAACTGTACTCTCGAAGCCTTAACATGGTTTTTGCTTCCAATACATCATGTCTCAAAAGCTACCCAACTTCTATTGTTGAACATTCCAAGTTTCAAACTAAAGTTTGAGATTGGAGAGATTGAGATTGATGTGCTATTTGATAACAATTTTCAAACGTCTAAAAAACTTGCCTTGACCTGGGCCAGGCACCAATAGGGCGACAAGGAAAAAAAAACTGAATTAAATCGATGAAACCAAATCGAGAATTCTGGTTAATCGAACTGATCAGTTTGGTATTTCGGAAAAACTAAAGGTATCGATTCGGTTTCAGTTAACCAATATAAAAAAACCGATGGTTAATCGAACCGACTGATATACATATATTTATATATTATATATATATTTATGTATATTATATATTTTTCATATATTTTATATTACCTATATATATTATAAATGAATATATATATATATATATATATATATATATATAGTAAATCAATGTTATGACACCTCATAAGACTTCTTTGTGCTCCATTGCCCTAAGGGGACAATTCTGGAGGGGGTGCAAGATTCCCTCTAGAAGCTTATGGAGGTGCCACTTAGCATGGCTTTTTCCTCTCCTTTTTATTGGGAAACTAACCATCACTCACTTTCTCCTCAATTATCTTTAAATATATCTAAGGACGCATTGTGAAATGAAGGGAGGAAAGTTGGTTAATGGGATTCACTTAACCATTGACAATGGGATTTCAAGAATAAGTGGGACCCATAGTAAATTTTATTTTCCTGGTTATCACTTACCCAAGAAAGTGATACCCTTCTCAAATTTGGGTAAGTTGATTTCCCAACCGAGGATAAATAGGAAGGAAAATTTCAGATTAATACCTTGTACTATGGGCCTAGCATTACTTTGGCCCCCGAACTTTAAAATGTGTCAATCCTATACCTAAACTTCCAAAACGTGCCAATTTAATACCATTAACTAACTGTTAAGTGGCATGTGAATTGTGAAAGGACACGAATGTCTTCTGAGCAACGTTTTCGAACCATCATTGACTCAGATGGTCGAACCATTTGGACCAGAAACTGGTCACTCGAACGGTTACAAATTTACCCCGAACAGTCTTCCAATGCAAAACCGTTGAAAAAGTCAAAAAACGGTGACCCGAATGGTTAAACCGTCGACCCGGGCAACAGTTAGTGGTTAGGCATTTTTTTGTTTATTTTGGATTAAAATAAAAATAAAACAAAGAAAATAACAAACATATCCTAACTACGTTCGATGACTCTCCTGAGTTTTGTTGTGCCAAGCCCAAAACACATTTTTTTATTCATCTGAGAAAAGCCCAAAACACTTCAGTCCTTGACAAAGCTTCAGGCCTTCACCGAAGAAGACGGCGGAACAAGTACCCGCCGGCGACCAAAGTTCCGACATCTCTGAAGTCTGAACTGAACTCTGATCTCTTGAAAGGAACGGCTCAACGGCATCTCCTCAAGGGGATAGCGGCGACTACTGTGGACATCCAACCTCCGGCGATCAATCTCCGCTGCGGCTGCCGGCGACCAGTCTGAAAGGAGTACAGCGACGACTATTCAGGTAAGTAAGTGTGTTTTTTTTCGTTTTTCTCTGATCTGATATGCGCATTAAGCCATTAACTCATTTATTATTATTATTATTATTATTATTATTCGCAATATTATGATTTCTCATTTTCTTGTGAAGGAACAGAACCGCCATTTGCGCCGGTGACTACTCCATTGGAGCCGAGAGCCACTGCAGAATCTGAGAATCACATCCCCTGATTTTCAATTTTGATTTGAAGCTTAAACTGGTATATTTCTGTTTCACTTGGAATTAGGAAACATATTCGTATTTTTTCTTTTTTTTTTTTCTGCAATTTTCTGTGGAATACATGTTACGGCTTACAGGTTTAACAACTGCAAAAAAGTGAAAAACCATAACTGATTCAGCCATTCCACATATCTAAGGTTCTTTTTCATCCCACTAAAACAGTTCAGAAAAAATCTACCAAAAAACCGAGTTCACAAAAGTTTCTAATTTTGAGACTCCCATCTCTAGTCTTTTTGTGTCCAAAACCACATCCTCCCTTCTCTAGACCTACCCCCAACCCCTCAAACCTAAAACCTTGGACCTAACCCCTTACTATCATCACTTATATTATCAATTTCCCTCAAATTTGTCATCAGTCCAGCTTTGGATCACAGCAGTCCTACACTAGATATGTTCTAGAATTTAAGGTATTGATGTAATCTTACAAATAAGTTAATATAAGCTACAATGATGAAAGAAAAAGAAATGAGATTGAACATTTAGTTTAGTCTCTAAAAAAGTTTCCAAAGAATGATATCAACTTTGATTTTTTGATCACTTTGATGTGTCTTTGTATGTGACAACTCCCGTTGATTGGAATAAAACTTAAACTGCCTGATTCTTGAACAAAACATAACATATTATAGTATCTAGATAAGTAAGAATCATGTAGGAGTCAAATAGAAACCTTTTCCACTAATGTCAACTCAAGGGACAGATTTTGAGCTCCAACTCGCATGAGGATATCTTTTGAACTCGTATGACTGAATTTTTCCTCATACAAATTGGAGAAATATTGGCCTCTATCTATATCAACCCCTGACAAGACACTTTCATTCCAAATAATTAGAAGACCTCCTGACGATCCTGAGGCAGCAAGCCATACCCAATTTTTATTTCTGACCTCCCAAATTGCCTTTATCAACCTTCTTGGCTTCCTTCCAATTCAAGTCACACCTTAGCTTCTTCAACTCTCTCATTGACTTCGGATGGAGGGTGTTGCCCTTCTCCCCTAAGATGTCCTTTATTTTCCAATTCTTCCCTTGAGAATCCACTGTAGATATGCCTAGATTTCCTGTTACCTTATCTGTTTTGCTTGCTGAGTTCTCTGATTTCTGTTGCTTCTGGGCAAACTCTCTATGAGCCCATGTTTTCAGCTGGTCACTCTTGGCAGATGGGCAGTGGTTGTGGGGGTCCACTCTACCTGTACCTA